AGGCGGCCACACGTTGCTGGCAGAGCTCCCCGGGCGCGTTTCGTAACGGTCGGGGTGTCCCGTGGGCACTTGGACCCTCCCCCATCCAATTGGGCGTGGCTGGACTGCAGCGCGTCCCCCTCGGTGCTCCCGCCACAGCGCCCCTCTCAGAGCGTCACCTCCGTGGGGCGGCTGGAGGCACCTGTCGCAGGGTTTCCATGCTGACTAGTCTCCCAAGTGCTTCCTAGGAAGCCACTTCGGTGGGTGAAACGTCCCGAACACCTCTTGCAAGTTCCCACGCTCCCCCGAGGTTGACATTAGTCTCTAGGACAGTGTTTCTCAACTCTTTTGCTTTTTATGAAGTGCCCCCCTTTTAAAAAAAATTATAAGTACCCCCAGTACCTACCGTTTCAGAGGCAACATTTTTTTCTACCCTTGCAATACATTTGTTTCAACAACTTAAATGTAGCCGGGCAGGCGATGAAATTTTTGGGTGTAAGAAGTACACAAATAATAAAGTGGTGTAAAATTTAAAACAAAATTCAGTTTTCTCCAAATTTCAGTTGTGTTGCCGTACCCCGCAGACTTCTCAGACTTCTCTCGAGTACCCCTAAGGCAGGCATGTCCAAAGTCCGGCCCGCGGGCCAATTGCGGCCCGTGTTCCGGTTTAATACGGCCCCCCAGGTAATTTGGCAATATCTATCTTTTATGGCCCCCAACGAATCCATATGTATTGAGATGAATACATTGTAAAATCTCAGTTAAAGTCAGTTGGTCTAAATCAGTTATAAATATATTTGGACACAACATGTATACTTGGTGTTATGTTCCTGTTCATATTTTTTGAACTTAAAAGTTGACAGACAACCTTTATTACCAATAATATGTAATGTACTTTACAATGTTCCTGACATATATTTCAGCTTCCTGGATTTTTTTTTTCATCTGGCCTTCAGATATGAAAGGCAGAGTGATTTAACACCTGTTTAGATTTGTCATCCATGTGACAAACTGAAAAGTATGCCGTTTGCAATAAACTTTGCATAAAATAGTTAATTTGCATTTAATTTTAATGGTTCAAAGAATGTCAGGCAAAATGGTCGGCCCTCACGCATGTTCACTTCATGAAATCTGGCCCTCTTTGAAAAAAGTTTGGACTCCCCTGCCCTAAGGGAACTCATACCAGTGGTTCAGAAACACTGCTATAAAAAATGAACATACAATCCTACAGTAACGCACCCAATAGTTGTATTTTTAGTACAGTGGAGCCCAAAGATCAGTATGGTTTAACTTCATTCATGAAGGTTTATCCTGGACATTCGAGGAAATTGCCCTCTAAAGTATTTACCTGGAATGACCCAAGTATTTTGAGTCAGACTGACCATTTTTATTTACATTTTATTTTCTTTAGCTTTCTTTGTCATTTGTCATATAAGTTTTCTTCCCTAGCAAAGGATCTTATGAGAAACTTGTGTTTTACACCCTCTAAGAGAAGTTAAGGGGCTGGGGTATAAAAGGAAGGGTCCACTGAATACTTGAGGGTCTCATGCAATATGTGATATGAGGTGAAGTATGATTTAGTCTAGAGGTCCCAGACTAAATCATGAGTATGTATGTGTACCTCTGCGGGTATACGGAAGTCTTCTAGGCTAGGGCATACATCAACTCATTTAGATATTTACATAGTTTAACAAGGTACATAAAAAACATTAGCAAAGTCTGTACAAACTAAAATTTTATACAGTGACTTGTTTACATGGTTCTATAAGCTATATGCCAAAATGTAAGTACAATATTTATAGTTCAGTTGATTTATTTTATAATTATATGGTAAAAATGAGAAAGTAAGCAATTTTTCAGTAATACAGGTTGAACTGCTCTAGTCCGGCTCATTCTGGTCCAGCAACATCCATGGTCCAGCAAGATTTTATTTAGCCAGATGTCCATTTACTATGGGTGTGGCCAAGTTTCCTGCAGTCCCATGAAGTGTGTTAAAGCCCTCATTCTTGGCTCTAGTGTTCTGTGCTGTTGTTTAATTTATCCCTGAATGTCTTCCAAGAGCCCAGTAAACAGTGGAAGTATTGGTAATACTGTTGGACAGTATTGACCTCCTGTGGTTCAGAAAAACCTCTGGTTTGGCACTGGTCAGATCCCCAGGGTACCAGACTAGAGAGGTTCAACCTGTAGTGTGTTGTGGCACTTTTGTATTTTTGTGTCTGGTTTTGTGTCTGGTTTTGTAAGTCCAGAGATTTTAAGTGAGGTGAAACTTGGGGGTAAGGTTCAGAGTCTTGAATGGGTTATAGTAGTCTGAAAAGGTGAGAGCCACTGCTTTAGTTTCTTCAGTTGTCTGTGGAGCAGTGTTCTAGGAAGTAACTGGATCATTAAAAGATCAGATAGCTACTGAGTTAAACTGTTCATCCTGTTTAAAACTGCACTGTGCATCTTTTTCAGATTGCTGTTTTGCACAAGCTGCAAGGAAGAATGCCACTTGCTCTTTGTTAATTCATCAGACATAATGCTACAGAACAGCATATTGCTGTTCCACTGCTGCTAAGTTTTGGAGGACAACAGTATACCACAAGTGCACAAAGCATCATGGCATCAGGCTACCCTCCTCCATTTGATGACTCTGTGGAAGTGAGAGAGGGTTTTCTCTGTCCCCTGTGCCTGAAGGATCTGCAGTCTTTCTATCAGCTTCAGTCTCATTATGAAGAAGAACACTCAAGTGAGGACAGAGATGTCAAAGGACAGCTCAGAAGTAAGAATCATGACAACAGTTTTAACTTCTGCTGTGTAAAATTATGTACAGTGAAATACAGCCGCTCTCTGAGTTACGAACCAACACTTGGTCCGTAACTTGAACTGTTCGTAACTCAGATCCCATAGAGTTACATGGTGACCATGCTGTTTGTAAGCGCAGATCGCCGTTCGTAACTCGGATCAGCATTTATAACCGCTTTGGTCGTAAGTGCGGATGGTCATAAGTGGAGGTGGCCGTAAGTCGGGGAGCGGCTGTATGTTTGTTGCACTACAGATTCCTAAGAGCATCTCAGCTATAAGTCTCACTTCACTAAAATATTGATTAAAATGAGTTAGAAGTGGGGTTGGTTAATGTGTAAATGGATTTAGGCCAAAGAATTTTTGTACAGTTTCCAACAGAAAGTTTCAATAATGTTTTCTAACTTGGTTTCCTAATTTTAGGCAACTAAATAAGCGGCTTGATTTTCAGATACCTACTTTTAAGCGCCCAAGTTAGAAAATGCAGGTGCTTCACTTTTGTGAGAGTTCTCAGTACATGAAGGATTTATATTATTAGAATTAATAACAGTTATGCTTGCAGTTTCCGTGGACACGATCTCAAAAAATAAATTATGGATTTGTCATTGGAATTGAAGGTGGATAACTTGCACATAATTAAAAGTGGGGTGTGAAATTGACAAGAGCCTTGGCTATATTTATAGTGGATTTAATAATGCTGTTTAGGTAATCTATTTTTGTGATAATAAAAGATTCTTCTTAGCTTTTTGTTCATATACACTTCAGTTGTATGTGTTGAGTAAAATGTTCAGAAACAGTCTTGAGTGTTTTCCTGGACAGTTGCTTGTTTTTCCTTAATCTTGAATTTTTATAATTTTTAACTGTAATTGACAGTGCCCCTTAAAAGGATACTTTGTTTGAATATATGGCTTTTAATCTCAATATTTTTATTTAAAACATTGCTTGTGTTACTCTTAGACCATATTAGATTATTAAATTAGATTTATCAGACTGAATTTTACTTTTCACCACTTTAGCTGCTCATTTGCTTTTAGCCATTCACTCACTTTTGACAATGAAAGTAGACTTGTGTTCTGCTATCTCAGTAGTGTCCCTTCAATTTAAAATATCTCTGACATTTTCAAATTTTTCTTTAATTTGTATTTTTAAGGATGTTATTTTTATCTGTCTGCTTTGTCATAGTCAATGCTGCCACTTTAAAACATTGCATGGAGCCTGAGATCAGTTCCCAGTTGATCCTGGGTTCCATGCGGTGCTGCTGCTTTGAAATGCTGTGTGCAGCTTGATTCTGGGCTCCCCGGAGCATTTCAAAGTGGCAGCGCCACTTGGAGCCTGGGGTCTGGCTCCAGGTTCCAAGTGACACTGCCGCTTTGTTGAAGTACCCCCTACTATTCTTCCTCCTTGCTGCCTCTTTCTGACAGAGGCAGCAACAGGGGGATGTGACTAGTCAACTAGCCTGTCGATCATCTGATAAGCATTTACTTATCAGATAGTCAACTAGTCGGCTAGTCCTTCACATCTCTACTGATAACAATGAGGAAAATTACAGCAGGTCTCCAATTTGATGTGTATAAATGTGTCATGGGATACATGTTAAACTTTATATGACAAATGATAGAAAAATTATGTGATTGCATACAACTATCTTTAGTAGATATTGAAGTGCGTTATAATATCACTATTGATTTTTCATGTGTTGCATATTATCTGTGTGACAGAGTTATGTCCTGTAATAATTTTTAGAAACTGCAGAAATTAGCTTGATAGGAAATAAATATTTTAAAATGTTGAATTTACTGGAATTTCACAATACAAGAGACTGGGAAGTCTTTAATAAAGATAGTCTATTTATGTAATGTGGTATAAATCAAGGCTGATTTTGTAGAATTATGTAAATAAATTTATGCTTCTGGTGAAGCTACCAAATCCATGACCTGAACCAAATCTGGCCAAAGAGAAGCCTAGTTTCCCTCCCATCAGAGGCAAATAAATAAATAGTGGCCAATAGCCATTGAGTTGAGGCGCCTGCCTGTGGTGGTAAATCAGGCCCCTATGCACAATCATACTGAAACTGTTGAATATACCTGTGAGCAAAACATTCAAGAAGCAACACTGTTGAATTATACTCTAATTGTTTGACTCCGCTTCCTCGAATAAAATAATCTCCACCGATTTTCCTTTCCACTGTTTCCGTGTGCAGATTTGGATTGTGTCTCTATGGCCAGGTCTGTGCTAGGAGACAGTCAAACAAAGATGTGCTATTATAGCTATGTGACTATCGTAGCTGGAGTAGATGTACTTTTTCCAATTTCAGTGGCACAGAATCATAGAGCTGGAAGAGACCTTAGAAGGCTATCAAGTCCAGCCGCCTGCCCAAGGCAGGACCAATCCCAATTAAATCAACCCAGCCAGAGCTTTGTCAAGCCGAGACTTAAACACCTCTAGGGATGGAGACTCCACTACTTCCCTAGGTAACTGATTCCAGTGCTTCACCACCCTCCTAGTGAAACAGTTTTTCCTAATATCCAACCTGGACCTCTCCCACTGCAACTTGAGACCATTGTTCCTTGTTCTGCCATCCATCACTTCTGTGAACAGGCTTTCCCCAGCCTCTTTGGAACCTCCCTTGAGGAAGTTGAAGGCTTCTATCAAATCCCCCCTCACTCTTCTCTTCAGCAGACTAAACAAACCCAAATCCCTCAGCCTCTCCTCGTAGGTCATATGCTCAAAAGCCCCCTAATCATTTTGGTCACCCACTGCTGGACCCTCTCCAATGCATCCACATCCTTCCTGTGGCATCGCCACCACAGGAAAAACTGTCCCATAGACTTCTCTTACTCCTTGCAACCTAGTGGAGTACTGGAGTGGACAGGGGGCATGATCAGCAGTAAATGTAACAGGTCCTTACTAGACTCTCTAAATCGAATCCTGGGAGATCCATCTCCATAACACTGATCTTTCAATAATTGGAGAAAAGGCCTATGAAAATATTGGAGTAGCAGAAGCTAAGATGTTATTGGGATTGTACCACACCTATCGTAATGCGGATCCTGCTTCATGATTATGGTTACTAGGCCTTTAGTAGTACAAATAATAACCTGCTTCCAGCATTTTGAAAGTACCCACAAGTGCAGGGGTGGGCAGGATAGGATCTGTGGGCTGCATTCAGCCTGCGGCTGCCCTGTTGCTCCACAACCTGATGGACACCTGGGGTTGGGGGGAGCGCACAAAGTCTCCTGCCAGCCATTTTGAACAGTGAGGGAGGGAGATCTCTCTAGGCTGTGCAGGGCGGGGGCGGGGCAAGATACTTCATGCATTCCCCCCACCCCCAGACGCTGATTGGCCTGGGCCCCCCCCCCCACCAGGGGCATGAGGCACCTAGAGGGAACCATCAGCTGTTCAAAATGGTTGGTGGTTCTCTTTAGGCAATGGGCACCCCTGTCAGGGCATTGGAGGGGACAAAGACTTTGCATACTGTCCTACCCCCAGGCCAGTGAGGGCCTGGGGAGAGTGGGGGAGCACATGGTCTGCTCCCCCCCACCAAGGGCATGCCACACCTAGAGAGAACAGCCCCCTTCTACCTAAGACCCAGCCCCTTCTGCCTGAGGCCCTGCCCCTTTCAGGGGTGTCCACAACTTCTTCTAAAATTTGTGAAGTGGATGCCCTGCAAAAATTATTGCCTGCTCCTGCTCTAGCGTACTCTTGCTTAAAAGACCTTTGGACTTCTTATAGTACCTTTCACCTGCAGGTTTCAGTGGTCTTTACAAACAAAATTAATACACATTGATATTAGCCACATGTTGGCCTTGGCTGATAGTTAAGTTATTCTGGATGTCTTAATGAAGAGAAATAATTTTTATTTTGTATAATTTATAAATGTCAAAAGTGGCCTAAATTATGCTAGTACAGATTTGTGATACAGCATAGGCAATGGCTGGAAAGTTGATGGCTTCTGTCTATCAATAGAAGAAGCCCCCGATTTGTGGTGCACATTTAGTTGTTGCCAAGAGCCATGGAATAAATTTGGTGCCACGCTTCAGTAGTAATTAGGAATGAAGCATGTCTACAGGCAGGTTTTGGTGTTGGGACTTCTGAGTTGTGTTCATAACTCTGTAACTGACTCTGGGAAAGTAATTTTCTGTGCCTCAGTTCAACCATCTGTCAAATGGGGCTAATCATACTTGTGACTTCAACCTACATGGGTTAAGTCTTAATGTTTGCATAAAGGGCTTTGGGATCCTTGGAAGCAAAGTACTTTAGAAGGGCGAAATATAATGACTGCTAACAGATGGATAAATATGACTCTTGTTTAGTTTAAACCAGTAAATGTGGGACTGTCTGCACCCAATTCACTGCAAATGTGAGCTGTTGCATGTTAGCAGTACAGGCAGTCCCCGAGTTACGCGGATCCGACTTATGTCGGATCCGCAGTTACGAACGGGTCCCTCTCCCTGGTCTCCAGCAGACGCGTCTGGGCTATCTGCTTCCCGCGTGTTCCACCGCTTTGCTCCCCGTCCTTCTGGTCTGCAGATCAGGGCGATGGGGAGCAAAGCAGAGCAAAGTGGCGGAGAAAAGCAGAGCAAAGCCGCGGAGCCCAAGGGCAGGAGGACAGCCACGGCGCGTCTGGGCTGTCCCGCTGCCCCCGTGCTCCGCGGCTTTGCTCCAGACGCCTGTGGTACAGCAGCTGGGGCGCTCCTGGGTTGG